GATGCAGGCGTATTATTTAAATTAATCTGTATTCTATTGGATGATAATGAAAGTATGGATGAAAAGGATGTTCTCTTTTATATTTGAATATTTTCTATTTCTTTTATATTTCTTTTTCCAGCATTCTTTACTCTTGGTGGGGCGTATGCAATAGCATTCTGGTCCTCGCTTTTGATGATACACCTTCATTTAGTAAGTAATTTAAAATTGGTATTATTATTATGATTATTATTATAATTATTTAATCGGTTTTGCATTTCTTTTTTCTTTTTAATAAAAAAAGATAACACTATGGAAATCCGACTTTATAACCAGACATATAAAGATTTTTGCCACGTTAATTACCATCATCTCACTGCTTGCCGTAATATTACCAATGTCATTAAATAAAGTTGAAGCAACAAACATTTGTTTTATTTGTTTAGAAGATGCTCCATTATATTTCCGTATTTTATCCTTCATTTATCTTGCACTTTTTTTGCATTTGATAACATTTGGTTATATGGTTAAAGTAAGATTGTTTGAATCTTTTTTATTTTTATTTATTTTTAATTTTGTTTCTTTGCGTTTACGATTTATACGTGTTTACGAATTTAAACAAAAAAAACTAGATTTCTATCAAAGCTATCCCGAAAGAAACGGTAGATATTACAAGAACGTCGGTCACACTTTACGAAGCGCAACAAACATTAACTCGTGTAACAAGTATACTTCGAGTTCAATGGCGTGCATCACTAGGAGCATTATTCATGCTTTCTGTTTACTCGGTGAATTGGGTAACTTATCAAACTTTTTATATACATACACATTTATATTCTGTTTTTCGTTTATATATACGAGTAGTAAATAATTTTTTTAAATCTATGTTCATATATTAATATAGGTATTTTACACATTTAAAGTGCCGGTAATGACAACTGAGGCAGGATCTGATTGGGTTCAACAATGGTTTCAATGTCTCAAAACTGGAAGTCAATCAAGTTGCACATCTGTTGCTGCTGGTCATGTTCCAAGTTATGGTCTGATATTAGCCATATTATTCACTAATAGATTTTGTGGTATTTTAATATTTATTCTTTTTGCTGGAAAAAAGTCGATATTCATAGAATTGTGGAATTATCTAAAAGGACAACCAATGACGACACCAAGCCTTTCTCTTAGACAGTCTGCTACCTCAGTGAACGAAAAAAGACACTCTATAAGTGAAAAGAGAGATTCAACTAAAAAAAACAAGAGAACATCCTTTTCATCCATACTTTCATTATCATCCAATAGAATACAGATTAATTTAAATAATACGCCTGCATC